AGCTGCTTCACTTGAATCTAGCTTGAAAAATTCATGTATATACACACATGCATGCTATAAATTCCACGCACAGTAATGTTTAAAGTCAAAGACTAGTACCATAACGTAAATTAGAAGTAAATATTTTTTAGAAAGCATTTAGTGGCACCTCTGCAACGACCAAGGAAGGAATAGTTAACGTATCAAGAAATTGAGGTTAAGACTACTGCCAGTGAAGCTTTTTACATCCTTATAGGATTTTATGTACCACAAAGACTATAATGTACTTAAAATTAATGCAAGAAATTGTGTTTTACCCGGTTTTCGCTTTTTAATCTATGGCCAAATTTTTAATTATTGGAAGAGCATGTATAAGTTCCTTGCATTTATAATTTTGTTACAGTTTTGGGAACTTTGGATTTATACTTTGATATGGTCGTAACTTTATTAGAATCATATCTGTCAACTTTATAGCTGGCCGGGGGTTTTACTGGTGATACCCTGACAGATAATGAGCTACCCGAGTGTTCCTTCCTCAGGTATTGTGTGTAGTTAAAATTATAATTTGTAATTATCTTTATAGCGCTAAACTTTACAATAAAAAAGTTTTGAGCTATGTTAGCAAAAGTATCAAGAGTATTGTTACGTTTTAAAATTTTTCTTGGGTTTTTCCTCCTTATAGTAAAACGTATTTTGTTAGGACTCACCATTATATTTTTCCGTGTTTTGAGTTGAATGAATTGGAATGTCATCGGTTTTGTGTTTATCCTACTGATGTGTACATTATCCGGTACACACGGAAGGGTTCCTGGTAATCCCGAACAAGAATGTTGATTCTGTACATGCCGTAGTCAGGTCCTAGAGGTTTAAGCCCCAAGTGAATAGCAGACTAGCAGGACATCGGCCCAGAGTCTCATGTATTCAAAGCAAAGGAATAAATCATGGTATTACAAGGGTGTATCAGTTGACTTTTTGCTGTTTTGTGACCAGAGGTAGGGAAGGATTGCTGTTTAAAGCCGTGTCATCGGCTCTCAAGTCAGTCAGGCACGAAGCCTTGTCAGGTGCTCTGTAATTGTCCCCCAGACGTTCTCTAGCTAGTCAGCTGGGGCCGTGCGTTTTGTTTCCAACACAGAGCTGGCCAGCGTCTGACAGGAGCTCTCGTCATCCTGTCAGTGATGTGTTAACTAGAGTGTATCTTTGTGGCCTGTGGAAGCAGGTACAAGAGATGCTCTCTTTAGAGCAGATGTCTGAGTGTTAGCTCCCATTTTGACCAATATTTAGTTGGTAGATATCACCCTCTTGGAGTCTGTAAGCACATTAGTTACAGAGATGTGATTGTGAAGTCCGTGTCCTGTCTGGACTGCTCAGAGCAAGCAGTGTGCTGTGAGTGCAGGAATTGTGCTAATACACTGTCGTCTCTTCCTTTGTTATAGTTGCCCCCAGGCATTTAAGCATATGCTTTTCTCCCCTTCGCTCATTAATACCATCAAGGGCCTATGCAAAAAGAAATCTTGTGATCCGCGGAAAATCAGCTATTAAAATGTAGATGTTATAGGTTGAGTTAGATTGAAGGGGAATCCGCAGGATTTTAACCTCTCCATCTGGATTTTACGTATTCTTGACTTGTC